CCCCAGCCAGCATGGCTGGCTGGGGAATTCTGGGAGTTGAAGTCCACACGTCTTCAAGTTGCCAAGGTTGCAAAACACTGGGCTGGGGACTCAGGGACAGGAGAGTGACAGTAGAAATATTGCTTTTATTTGGCAGATAGGCGCAATTACTATATTTCTGCAGGCAGGAGTGGACAAAATTTGAGGAGGGTTTTTTTTAATGATCATGTTTCAACCCTAGCTTTCTGTTTCATAAGCCTTGGGGGCCTTAGATCTTTCTAACCTGGAAAGGTTGCCCATTGGGGGGTTCCCTGCAAAATGTAGAATCTTCCACCAAAGGTTGGGGCTGGCCCCCTTTCACGTTGCACTCGGTCATTGTTGGTTGTTAAAAACTACAGTATTTAAGAACAGAATTTACAATGTGGAAGAAGGAGCAGACCGCCAAGCAAGTTTCTCACCTGGGCTTCAAAGTGTGGGCCGTCTGTGGGAGAGGGCATCTTACCATTTTTAACCACACATGAAATCTTGCCGTTCATAATGCTGGTTCTGCACATTTCTGTTCTTCCTCTACCTATCTGTGAAGATTTTTTTCCTTCTTCTGTGCAGATCAGCCCTGTGCATAAAGCTTTCTGCTTTTCAGAACAACCGTTCTGCTGGGGGACTTGCAACCAACGGAAACGCTTTGAACTACACGCAGCCCCCCAAAAGAGACCAAGCGATTCTTTTTCACCAGCAATTCAAGCCCACTTCTGGTAGCAATTGTTTTCACGTGAGACACAGTAAATGTTGCCTTTATTTTGAAGAGCATCCAATAGAGTAATTCTTCCCTTTTATTTTATCTCTGGGCATGTATCCACGTATGTGGAAGAGGAACCCAGATGACCACATTTATGGAAACGATAGAATGACAGCTTCATCCCAGATCAGTCGTTTCTCGCGTGTGGCTTTTTGGGGGGTGGGGGTACTGTTCCCTCTTTTGAAAAAAGACTGCCGCTTCCTTGCAATAATTTTTTTTTCTCTTGGTCATCAAAAAAAGAGTCCTGTCTTTGAAAGTGTAATGCCCTCTGGCTTTGAGGTTCCCTTTGCTTGCATCACAGTGATGGCTGAACACTGGCGTTTTCCTTTGATTGCTTGCAGAAGTGTGTCTTTCAACTTCCGCCCATCGAGGATGAGAGCAAGAACTTCTGCCCTGGGGTGGCTTGGTCAGAGCCCACTTAACGTAGGCAGAATGTGATCTTGTGTTCCCAGACATGGTTAGAACAAGCTTCCTTTTTCTTTTCTTTTCTTTTTTTTGGTGTTCTGTCTCTTCCCTCGCCCCCATCCCCTATTCAACTACCACTAATTATGGGAAACTCTTAGAAGATGCGTATGAAGGTACCCAAATCCAGGGCTATCCCAGGATGTGGCATAGAGGTTTTGCAGAGAAAAAGTCCAGTTCTGTGGTCTTGTGGGCTCAGATTCCGTTCCCAGCATTTCCAGCTTCAAAAACTGGGGTTTTTGGAGGACAAGTAATAAATACTGGAGGACAAGTAATACTGGAGGACAAGTAATAAAAAAGGCTCTTTTTTCAAGAAACTGCTGCCAGTCTGAGCAGGTTGTATAGGGTTGGGTGCATAAGAATTTGATCCAGTCTGAGGCCTTTTCCTGTTAAAGGAATGCTCAATCTTGCTGAACCACCCCATCGGCAGATAGGGTTGAGAAATGGATTTGCTTATTTGCTCAAATGAAATAATGAGTTTTAGACTTTTATGGTAATTGTCTTGGTTTATTTACTGATATTTTATTTTTATCCCCATGTCTCTTTCTATCTTCTTTTTCTTTTATGTAGCGATTTATTCTGTTCCTTTAAATGTTTTCACAAATAAGTTATTACTTAAAAAAAAGAGAAGCATGTTTGCCTGAAAGCTTGGAGGGATTCTGCCAGTCAGAGCAGACAGTATTGCTCTATATGGAACAGTTGACATCATGTGGTTTTGTGCATCCTTTAATTAGTCCTTACCCAGCACCATGAGGACTGGAAACTTATTTTCATAATAGGGAAGAGGTCTTCGGTTGAGCGCTTGCAACTCCAGATGACATTTGCAGAAGCCCCAAAGGAAAGAACGTCTCTTTTCTTATACCTACTGGGCTAATGCATTCCTTTTGATAATGCCAGATATGCTTTCTAATTGATTTGATACAACTGATGCACAATTGCTTCCAACCCAGTTGTTTTGACGTTTCCTTGTCTCTTTTCTTGTCCAAGAAACACGTCCAAGATGACGCGGCACCTTTGCCCCTTCCCAGCCTTCGGAACCTCCCTGGCTGCAGTATGCTGACCCTCGACAGTGGCGTGGAAGTGGGGGCCAGCAGTTGCTCCTTTTTCAACCGGTTTGGGGGCGCTTCCCCATGGGGAGCGCCCTGCCTTTCTCTCTCCGATTGACCACCGCTGGGTGTTTTGGAAGCCCCCAATTGGCTGGAGAGCCTGGGAGGCAGCAGAGCCTTCCCTCCAATCACAGACTAGGGCGGGATCCGGAATCCTGAGCACACGCCGGCCAGGGGCGATGCAGTCGGACGACCTCTTCGTTCGCAGGATGCGACGCCACTCAAACCGACCACCACTCACCTCGTTCTCGTTCGACAACTTCCGGGCCCCCAAGCCCCAGGTGGGTGAGGCCCCGCTGGTGGGCCACTGTGGCCCACCGCTGAGGTCGCCGCAGCGCAGCTGTCTCATGCATCGGAGCAACAGCGACGTGACCCTGAGCGAAGGGGATCTGGCTGTCACTGCAGCCGCCCCCAGCTCCCCGTTGGCGCTGGCCTCAGCATCTGGGACTGGGCTTCAGCGTAACGGCAGCAGCCCCAACGTGCCGTTGAAGAGCATGGTGCCCCCTCGAGCCCGGGCGCACAGCCACGAAGAGTCACGGGCCGGCAGCCCTACCGCGCGGCGCTTCCGCGACCCCTTACTCTTGCTGGGACTGGCATCTGCGGATGTGTGGGAAACAGACGGGAGCGGTGCCCCATCAGGGGAGGGTAGCGTGTCCCTCCCTGCACCGGAGGTGGCCGCGCCGGTGTGGGGCCGTCATTTGGCCCATTACGACGTCCAGAGTATCCTCTTTGAGCCAGGCGAGGGGGCTCGGGAAGCCGCCAGGCAAGGCAACGTCACCACGGGAGCCTCAGCAGCTTCACAGTCCCGCACAGCAGACGTGATGCCCATTCTGGAGGACGGGGCAGGAGAGGAACAGGGCAGCACACTGGTGCTCAGCTGTTCCTGCTTTCGTGTGGAAGCCGGTGGAGAGGTCGAGCGGGGACTAGGCCAACACCGGGGGTTGCCGACCGGCTTCCGTTGTCCAAATATGGCTGTTTCAGTGCTGGAAGAACCCCGCGAAAGTTACGGCCAGAGGAGCAGCCGGGCCATCCACGCCATCGAATATGCCGATCTTGGGGCCTGTTATTACCGGAAGCATTTCTACGGCAAAGGTGAACAATGGCCGGCCGGGGAAATGAGGGGCAGGAGAGCAGGGGGAAAACCTGCACCAAACTGCAATTTCTTATAAAACTGAGATATAGACCCTAGATGCAGAAAAGCCAAATTTGGACTTTAAGACAAATCCCTGTGTTAAATTGTAGTCCAGGAACAGTTTCCAGTTAGAATTAAATTCTCCATCAGATTTAACTTTTAAATACAAAGTTATTTTGGACATCAAAGCGTACTCCCGTAACTTGATTAGCCATTCTTCCAAGGATGAAGCACCAGAGGCTTTGATGTCTTTGTGGCTAATGAGTCCTCTGACTGTGACCTTCCCTTGGTTTTAAAATAGAAGCTTAAACAGCCCGTTTTGCCTGTACTTGTTTCCCTTTCACGTGACAAGTTCTCCAAGAAGCTCCTGGCTCACTTTCAGCCCTCCCTTTCTGATCTAACTCTATACCATCTCTGTGCGAAATGAGCAACCCTAACGTGTGCCGTGAA